TATAATCAGAGTCTGACATCAATCATTACAGTGTCTTCAGAACCCGGGTTTAAATGATCACAACAGAAAAACCACCTGTGATTTGAATGATTGGTTTTCAAGAAGAAAACTATATCTACATTTATGCATTTAAACTAAGAAGTGGAAATCAAAAAGAAAACACATTGTAAATGTTCTGGTACATTAGGTTTCTAGACTCCCAAAGCAAAACAACATAAGAAAATTAACCATTAGAAATCAGTAAAGAGACTAGCAATTAGCTTATAGCAAGCTGTTTCTGACTAATGATTTTTCCGCTTTAGTTTTCCCAATATCAAATTTATGATTTTTCCTTCAATTTATACAAACAGTTCCAGAAATATCTGCAATTATACACACCATGTGTTAGTGTTCAACATAAGACAAGTTGTAAAAGCAGAATTTCCAAAGTTTGGAATCGCGTAAGCAAATAAGGCACAGAATATTTAATACATCAGCTATTTTTCATAGCATTCAAGGATACATTGACAGATGTACAGTATCAAGTTACAGTATGATTCGGAGCCCATAGCAGCTTGTCTCATACATTTTAAAAATATTTGCAGGGCCATGGACTGATTTCTTGGTAGAAGGCTTGTAACTTTGAGTGCATACAAATTTTTTGTTTATTAATAATACTTCCCCCTCGCTCCAAGTAATTCAGTTACTATAATTTTGGCTTAGAAAGACAGTATTAGCCCTAAATGAATACCTGACATTTTAGGATGTTTTAAACAGAAACAATCAAGTTAACTACTTAGAAAAAAAATGACATGTAGGAAAATAATTGCTATTCTAAAAATTTCAGCTTTAGACAAAGCACTCTCAATACACCTAAGAGCTTACGTTAACACAGTCTAATCAGTGTTTACCTCGTGACTCATGCTAAATTTAAACTTCAGCTTGGTCCAAAGTATTTATCTGAAAATGCCGACTGTGATGCAAATGAACAATGGCATAAACAAAATATGTTTGTGTATTGTCTAGCTTCAAATAGATGATCTGTATTGGTACCCATCTCTACATCGTTTCTGGGTGGTCTTTATCAAGTCCTTAAGCGATGCAAATTTTTCAGTTGAAGGGTATGATGCTTTTAAAACGGGCCTCTTAGCTGAGGAGCCTGCTTTGGAAATGCTCACCTGGCCTGTCATGCTCTGTAAAATACATCTGATGTTAATCTGTTCAGAAAAGCCTATTATTATTAGCTTCAAGATTATTTTCTTAAGCTAGCTGTTAAAAAGACCTAATGGCAAGTGTGTGTACGTATTACTAGACACTCAGCAGCCCTATTCTAACACGGGTCACCACATTTTCTCCTCATCTTTCAGTCTATCTCAGTGCACGTATGAACAGTGACATTGATAGTAGGTAGGTTGACTACACCATTTCCAGACACCCCTTCCAATCTCAGTCATTCTGTGAACTAGATACCCCTCCCTGGAGCAACACATGCTTAATACACGTGCAGAAGACACCTGAAAATTTTGTATTTACTTTATCCATAGAACACGTGTAGACCCTTTGGTAAAAGTTTTATACTCGAAAGTTTTGCATAGATTACATAAAATCCCTGGCCTAACTCAAAATTACTTACTGAATTAAAAATTGTAAGAAGCAGAGATTTCTACATGAGGATGCTTTATTTAAAAACAGCAGCAGCATTACTATCTGAAACAGTCTAGTTTGTATCTCACCAAGAAAGATTAGTATTATCTTTGTTCTGGTTAGTGGATTTTTGGATTATAAAAATCCTTACACAGTTAGCCTTTCATGAAGCACTGTTAGGGATTAAAAACATCTTCATGAACATGTTCTCATATAATGAAATTGTAACAATTCAACTTCATTTTACCGAGAGCAGGAGAAGCGCGCCAATTAAAAGCTCTGTTTTGAGGGTTTAATATCAGAAGGTTGAAAACGGGTTAGGCAATAAACTAGCAAAAAGATTCTCAGCCCAGAGAGGATTTTTTTCTTTTTTTTTTTTTTTTATGTCAAGCACACTTTAAATCTCCTAAGCTGTTTATAGTGATAGAGCTGCCAAAAATAGCCCAGCTAAAAATCATAGAATTGGCTGCATCTGTTACAGAATACAAAGAGCCCCTAAACATTGCAGAATACTAGAAAAAGGTCTTTAACCAAAACAAGTAAAGATGGCATATTCTGGAGGTTTGTTTTTATTTGTAAAGAAAAATCAGTGCATCCATTTTAGGGACAACTATATCTTCACATTCATGAATAGTAGCATTGCCTGTGAGTAAATACTCTCAAGTTTCCAGTCAAAAAGTACCACAGCAGCATCGAATGTCATGATTATTACTTGTTTCGGACAACACGATTTCAGCATGCAGACTACTCCCCTGCATCCTCGGCAATGCCTCCCTCGTAATTAATACCAGGACTTATTCTTAATGAGGTTTTGTTCCAACTCAGGAAGGGTAGTGTGGGTCAATACTGAGTCACAAGAATCTTCTGCTCATTTGCTCTACCTGAACCAACAGGTAACAGACCCCACTGAGAAATAGCACTGTACGGATGGTGTTCCTCTCTCTGCTGGTGTCCTAAGGCTGTGCTGCCCCAGCTGTGCCAACAAGGAGCCACGCTGAACCAACAGCAGAAGCATTTAGCTCTCTTCTGCAGTCTGTGCAGCCTGCAGAGTGAATCACAGGACTGGCTGCAGGCGTACCACACGAAGAGCAGCCCCTTATTTTGGCCCTGTTTGGCAGAGCGCTTTTAGAATCACAGTACTGTCCGTACTCTACAGTTACACACAGGCTGTTTGTCTATTTTGCCTTTTTTTAAAAAAAATTTATCAGCTGACTACTTTTATGACTGCTTTTACAAGTCACTTGCCCAACTCTGTACAGACTAACACAAATTAAAGGAGACATGGTGAGAACACTAAACAGGTATTTTTTGGAAGAGGCACAATGAGACTCAAGGTGCAATTTCATGCTTGGTTAAAGGTAGTAACAGCAGTTGTAGCCTAAAAGAAGAGTCAACCTTCTCTCTGTGCTCACATCGGCTCTGGCAATCCTAAAGCTGCATGGTGAGCTGGATCAGCTCAATAACTCAAGTGCAAATGAACTGTGCTCCCCACCACCCCCAGTTCCTATAGCTGATGTCAGGGAGCTGCCATAAATGCACAGACAGGACCAGACGATTGGTGACTTTTCATTTTGGCAGCGGGTGGTCTTGGAATAACACATCAGTCATGAAATATCAGGTATCACCGATGAGGTATTATTTTTCAGCAACATATGCTGTGTTCACAGTTGGTCCAATTTTCATAGGGACAGCAAAAAAACAATTTACCATTCCCATCTTAGAAGCAAAAAATATTTTAAAGAAAATAATTCTACAGTAATATTTCTCCAGTTTTTACTTCAGAATGAATTATTTTCCTTGAAATTTTCTTCAGATTGCTGTGACATAACACATATTTCAGCCTGAGGTGTTATATCCTTGCTGTTACAAGCAAATAAAAGTTAGGATCTTTCTATGGGGAGTGCTTCAGAGAAGCTTCTATCCACATCTTGAAATATGAATATAGATGTGAATCTATAAAAGCTCCCGGCACTCCCCAAACAAAGATCCTGACTTTCACTTCTGTTTAATAGAGGAACTTCCATATATCACTAGCACTAACTGGAACTCTCTGGACATTCTTCGGGCTGTTAGCGGTCATAAAAACCTTTGTGTACTCTTGCAAAAATTGATCTGTGATTGATCTATGTAAGCAACTCAGACTTCCTACCTTTACCTACCTGTGAGTTTAGATTTCAATACACTCATCTTAAAATGCTATCTGGAATGCTCATCTACGCTGCCCATGCCACTACAACAAAACTCCAAAGGATTTATAGAACTAACTGTGTTAGAATTGGTTATTATATGACACTGATTATGGTAAGCAACTCTATATTTAATTTTCCAGTTGGAATTTCTACTTCCTAGTTTCATGCAGCAATATGCCAGAAATGAATATTAAGGTTGGACTATGTGCTAAAGCAATTAACTTAATCCTCAACATTTATAAGCATCTTAATTAAATTTATGGACTCTTTCCTCTCTCATTCTCGTGCTACTAAACAGGAAAAAAATAAACCTTCTTTCCAAAACTACCATATATGAATTGATGTACATTGCACATCTAGCAGAAGATAAAGCATTTCAGAAATAATTTAGTGTGTGAAGAAATTAAGTTTAGCACAATATTTAACTGTGCTTGGAGGTATGAACCAGGTACGTAGGTGATAAATAGATTCATTGTGGTAATCGAATGCTAAATTGCATTGTGTATTTCACAAGAAAAAAAAAACAAACAAAACAAAGCCACCACCACCAAAGGAAGAACACAGTTTATCTACCATAAGAAAAGTTGTCTCCAGTACTCATTTGTGAACACTGAAATATAAATAGGTTACAGGATTGCTCATATAGTGATAGAAGAACAAAATCTCACATGCTATTTTCTGAATCAGTAACAGAATTAACTATAACAAAATAGAATGAAGTCATATCAAAATCCTCAAGAAACAAATTATCAGCCCAGTCTTGAAAACATTCTTCTGAATGAACTATAAAACTATTTTCAGACTCAAGATGAAGCAAATGCAAAACTGAATACTAGAGCACAGCATCACAAAGAACAGGAAACAATACTTTAATGGTGAACACAAAATTATTCAGAACAAGCATTAGTTCTGATTAAATTATCATCAAAAAGTAGAAAACGTTACTAGGTTTTTCATTTTGGCAGTTATTTTTTTAAAACCCAGAATTTTCAAATTGTAGACATTAAAATAAATAAGAAAAAAAAAATCAATATCAAAGTCATAATTACAGAATACAACATTCCAGAACTAACTATTTAAAACCATTAGTGAATTTTACTACAATATTAGAAGGAAATCGCAACGCATTACATTATATATTTAGTGATAAATATTTTTAGGAAGGTATTTAACACTTTTATGACTTACCAGCAGTGAAGTCATTATTTAAATCTATAAAAGCATGAGAATGTGGTATATACATTTTACTCTGAGTTTCCAATGCAGCATGCCATGATAGGTTCCTACAGACAAGAATAAAAAGCAATACACTTCATCAATGCTTAGGGAATGTTAATCACGGTAACATACCTTTTAAAAAAAAAATAAATTGAGAAATTTTCAATAAAAGTGAACAAAAAGCATGTCCTCCCAGTGCTATGCTAAAATCACTGCTTAGCTTACAATATACTAAGTAACTAGAGTAACTGCTTGAAAGGTTCTGCGAAGGATGATTCATAGCACAGAGGTTTCAGTTAAATTTTTATTAATTTTCTAAGGCAATTTTTTTTTTTAAAAAACACAGAAAAGTATCACTACCCACAAAGTGAAATTTAGTGCCTAGACTTCAACTGCAACTCCTGAGACACTGATCACTGTCCTCCCTGGTATCCTCAAGCAGTTTTACTATTGGTACTTCTGAAATCTACTTTAGGATTAGTAAGGATGATCAAAAATGGACGTACAAACTTCATTTCCAGTCATTTTAAAAAAAAATTCAACACAAGAATTAAATCCTTCCATTATGACGGACTGCAGGCTAATTATGTCATTTCCCAAGTAGGTGATACTTTTATTGATAAACATACATGCCCTACTGGTGTCTGTTCTAAAAATGACTGAACTTTCAGCAAAGCTCCCTATTAGCAGCGCACGGAAATGTAACAAATCTTCCAAAAGTCATAGCAGTTGAGTCATTCCATGTGTTACTTTCAGAACCCTTACCTCATACACTCAGAAAAATCTAAATATACACTATACAATGCACCACGCAACAGTAGGACAGTGATATTGCTCTTGCCTGGAATGACTTTGTTTATTCCAGTGACACTACATACTTATTACTAAAGTCCTTATCTTCTGTGACTCATTTTATGGTAAGAAAAAAAATAAGCTTCTCATTACTTCCCAGAGATCATAACTAAGTCTTAGAAATGTTAAAAAGAATCACTTAACTTTTGTGGTTATCTTCAAAACTGAATATATAGCAAATATTTAATTATTTCTTTAAGGTTAAGTTATACAGCTCTAGTACAAATTTAAAACCATTTTAGACCAAAAATAGAAAAATGCTTTTCTAAGCAGATGACAAAGCTGTTTTCCACGAGACACTCTTTATGCTGTTCCCTATAGCAGCCAGTCTTATTTTGAGCTTCAATGATTAAGTTTACTTGTATCCTAATGCTACTGAAAAGATCTCTTCAACAAGATGAAACAAATTTTTCCCATTTTTCCGTATCTTCAAAAGCTTATAAAATTTTTCAATATATAATCATTTCAAAGTGTTCAGAAATACCCCTCTGAATTTGAAATCTCTGTTCCATAAGCCATCCATTTAAATAAAAGTAATGGTGATAAAATTCAAGTTGGAACTAATGACCAAAAAAAACATACTGCCAAGAAGAGTATAGTTTTCATTTACACATTTAAATGTTATTTACTCTACATCACTTCTGAATGATCGCTGAAGAAAGGAAAATAGTTAGGAACAACAGGTACAGATTTCTTAAACTCACTGATGGGGTGTGGGGGGAAAAGTCTTATTTAAACGTTTCTTAAGGGCCATGGAGATGCATGACAGAAACCTGATGTATTATTTACATAGAGACAGAGCCATCATCTCACTGATTTCTCTAGCAGTAAGACATCTTTTGAAACAATAGCTACAGAAAGCCACATAGGAATGCAATTACTTCCTAACACACTCCTCCTTTTAAAATAAACATTGATTGTATGCAAACCTAAAACAGCTGTGATGCCAACATCTGGATTTCTCCTGAAACACACAGCGCTTTAAGTTTCTATGTTAATGTTATTTAGTAACATTCAGGACAATCCTATCAAGTTCCACCTAAAAGCTGCAAAATAGTAAGTCAGAAGATGCAAACTTCCTCAAACAATTGACTTAAAGGTCCAATCCTCTAAGAAAACACAAGGCCAGTTCCTAATTTTTCCATTTATTCACTGGAAATTATTATTATCAGTCAAAAAAAAATTTCAAAACGAAAATGTCAAAACAGTGGTTTTCATATCATCATGAAGCCAAGAACAATGTATTTATTTTGACATTTATAATCCAACTTGCATTCTAAAAATAATGCCTGCTATCTTTTGAGCATGTTCTTTGACAATTGAGAGAAAAACTCTAAATTAGGAAAAGTGTTCTAATTCAAGTATCCTTCTTTCGAGGCTTCTTTCTTTTTCAAAGAATGCCCAAACCCACAACACTAACTATGACGTTCTTCCTTCCAAAAGTCAAAGACTGAACGTATGCTAAGTTCACTTTGGCAAAAGTCACAGGAAAGGATGTACAGACCCATATTCTTAGGTTTTTTGTGTTTTTTTTAAAAAAAGCTCATCCTGTTCAATAATGAAACTTTGACTCTCTCAGAGTCACAGCAATTTGTGTCCATGAATACATAATCCTAACTGTTCTCAAAAGCCAAATCTTTTAAATAAAGATCAGACTGCAAACTTCAAAAGCAGTATCAGGAAAACTGAATAGGATGTGAATTGACTTTCTCTAAGGTCCAATAGTGTTTTCAAACAAATAACTTATAATTTATTTTCGAAAGACATTTAAAGCTCTTTGGCATCTCGTCCAATATCGGACACATCGCTACTTCTAAATTTTTTGTTTAGAGATTGGTTCTTCTGAGTCAGTAAAGATCCATTCTTTTGTTATGCTTTGATTTCAGCACTGATATCCAAAACAGCTAAACAAAAATAATCCTTTGCATAGTCCTTACTAACCATTTAAATATGCCGTTAAAATAGTCATTTTTAACCCCGTATTTGCTGGCTAGTCCCATTCTAGAAATTCCAGGGCTAGCAGAAACTTTAATAATGAAACTTAGGTCCCGTTACTCTGATTCCAACTTGTAAGACCTCAGTCAACTTCTACTTGCTGAAAAGTGGCCCGAGCCACTCCTTAACACAACAGACGTGATACTGTGAACACCACTTGCCTGCATGCTTGTACTGCTGCTTAAAGCCACCTCTGCTTTACGTCTTGATAAATCTCTTCCCCAATAAGCATAACAAATATTTTCCCTAATATATAGCTTAATACCCTTACACTTTGCGCTTCCTGTGCTTTTGATTTCCCACATTGTTTAACCTTCCCATTACAATTGACTTCCTGCATAAATGAGAGCTGAATTTTTTTAAGTTTACCCCAAACTCTTGCACATTTTCCTTTTGCCACTAATTCCTTTTGAACTCTAATAAAGATAACAAATATCAACGTGCACTAAACTAAAGAGACTACAACTGTTCCAAAGAACAACTATCCTATTTCTCATGCCAAATAACAGGTATTTCATATTCTCAGCTCTCATGGAATGTCTACTTCCCCTGTAAAACAACTACTTCCCCTATAAAATAACACTTTAAAAATTAGATGCAGAGTGTCATAGAATGTTTAAAGAGAAACATGAAAATGAGAGAAGATTCAGATGTTTGCACAGTTCCAGTTAAACACGAGTCTTATGCCTCTGATAAGAACCGAAGCGGACACACAAAGAAGTTACTGAAATTCATGCAAATAAACAAACCCTTAGCTTACCCGCCTATCAATATCTGGGGCTTACTTGAATCACTTGTGACACCAAAGACGTCAGGAATCAAGTCTCCATTAAAGCTGAAAATGCAAAACAATTTTAGTGTCACCTTCACCATTACAGGAGTCGAAATTAACTCTTCTTAAACTAACCTGTATTTGGTTAGCATTTTCCCATCAAGTAATGAATAATTTTCAGTCAGTAGTCTTTACAGAATTTTGGCTCTTGTCTGAGCTGCTAGTAGTGGTAACGCTTCTTCAATACTTTACACTATGCCATGCATTTGATTCTCCAGCTATGTTTCCTCCTCTTTTGTTCAGCATTACACATAGAGGCAAGTGCACTGTGAAAGGGGGATTTGCTCCGTCTGATAAGCCAGTAAGGTTTTTGTATTATAAAATTCACCAAAAAATGAATGGCTCTTATTCTGCCTAAAACAGAGTACTGAAATTGAAAAAATTACAAGCTTATTTAGTTACTATTGCCAGGATGAAATAATATGTAAGATTTGTAAAGATGGCTGTTATACTTTGTCATCTTTTGTTAGACCAGTTCACATTACGCAAAACATCCTGTTCTTAAAACAGCATGTGTTTCAAATTTCAGCATTAAAATAAATTTAAGTTGCTATTCATCACTATTACAAACGTTGTTTTCTAAAAAACAAGTAGGTCATACTTACTCCATTACTAGAGGCTCATCATGAAAAGTCTTATTTAGCATAGTTTTATGGTAAAGATCTAAAAACAGAAAATATTCATTTGATTCAGTTACCAATATTTTATGACATTTGCATTTTTAGCTTAGACATAATTCTTCTATTAATTTACAACCGTCAATTTTATAATTAAAAAAAAAATCAGCCACTAATGAGTATAAACAACAAAATGGCTTCCTGAAATTATGCAGGAAAGGTAAGTTACATCAGTTAAAATGCTGAAGCTTCTTCTCTCTCCACTGAACTCTTCAACAAATCATTCTAAATAGATCTTAGCAAAAGCTATTTCTATGTGTGACTGCAAGCACACAGACACACAAAATCTGAAATAGGATGAAGACAGTCTAAAAATTTAACATTGTACATAAGACCTCTGTTTAATGTTTTGTCACTGTAAAAAGCATTCTTAATCATATACGCTAAGTGTTTGAAATAAAGATGAGAAGTAGACTGCCTAAATGGGAAGTGAGGATCACTTGCCACATCATCCCCATTGCCTTTGCTTCTCCATAACGTTTGTCTTCTTTCCAGTTTCCACATGTTATATGACAGTACTCTCCTACTGACTTGTCACACTACCTAAGTAGGCACCACATACCTTCCCAGCAGCCTCACTACATACCAACCATTGCCTGAATTTTTAACCTCTGACTCCTTTTCTAAGCCCCATACGATCATTTGTGCCTCTCCCAGTATTTGTTTGTTCAGAAGCAAGACAGCATAAATTAATCCAAATCCTTCACACTCTTCCCAATACTACAGATACTTCCTATTCTGTTAGTACTTGATCCAGCGCACTTTCCCAGGTTGCTCGTTCCACCTCTGATGAAAGTTAGAAGCAATGGTACTCAAGGCCATCACTTGCCTCACCTGTAACTAGTTTATAACACAGTAGTTTACAATAGTCATTATTCTTCAGTACTTTTTCTGGACTTAAGAGTATCTTCTTTTGCTTTTCTGTCCTTCAAACCCTAAACTCTTCCCAAAATCCCTTCCTAGCAAAATCAACATAAAACAGAAGAGAATTCAAGAGTTCATGTGGTCTATGAAGTTCTCATAGTCCATGACTCTACCCTAAGACAGAATCGGCTATACCTAGGACACTGCGAAAAGATTCTTGAAAACTTCCCATGACAGAAACTCTAGAAACCTCTCTCCCTAAGCCTACTTCAGTGTGTCACTGTCATTAAAATACTTGGTTTAACAGAAATAAGAGTGTAACATTACTATTGGCAAGTTTAGGTATAGTGTCTTGAAAGTTTATGCATTAAACTCTACTTCAGGTTCCCAGTGCGCTTAAAATTCAAGATAAATCTGTTGAGATGCTCCTTGTGAAACTGACCTGCGTATCAGGGAAGACATGAGAAGTAGATCTTGGGTTAGCAAGTTACTGTCAAACTGTAATATTGTTTGGTTATGTCTGTTGCATGATATAAAGCAAGAGTTTTAGCTTTGTTCTTTTCCATTAATTATTGAATACAGTTTAACAGCAAGATAATATATGGGCATGAAGCTGAATAGCTGCTAAATCCTGTTTTAGTTGTGAAAACAATCCCTACACTGTAAAATCAGTTATGACTTTCCAAAAGTAATTTGAACTATTAAAAAGTCTAACGACCTTATTAATAAGCAGTCTCAGCAACTCACCTAAGGTTTGGTTGTGCCCCCAGAAAATAATCACTGAAAGTTCATCTCTGCCATGATTTTGTGCCTGAGTAGTCAGGAGGACATCCATTTGTGAGTCACCATCATAATCTCCAGGAACTACACTGGTTATGGTAACGCCAAGCGATCTAGTTTTAAAAACAAACAAAAAACACCACATGCAAATAATTGTACAAATGTGTGCATGAAAACTGAAAGAATCTGTGTGTTCAAAGTCTTGCCTTTTTGTCCCCATTATTATTAGCCAGTCTAATACAATATTTTCCCTCAACAACCTTGCTTTTTTTAAAGTCCTTATCTATTGCAAAAGTAACTTTAAATTAAGCACTCTGCAGTCTGTCTTCCTCCAAGAAAGGATGACGTTTTTAACTCTAAACTTCAGCTATCAGGCATTCTTCAGCCACATCCTGTTTGTTAATGCCATCCAGGCTTCATTGAATCCCTTCATTTGCTGTAGAACCAGTCCTCAAAAAATGTGTTTCAGAAAGCAGGATCTTTCGACTGCATTCCCAGAGCAAGACCACAAAGCAACAAGAGTCAGACAGATAGCTAAATCTTTTTAAAGACAATATCATCTCCTCCCATCTTCTGCCATATCTCACCACTCTTCCCTACATTTGTTTTTTCTGTCTTTTTTCACTTGGTTATCTACTCAGAGACTCTGCTTTACACACACAAACATGGATCTTATTGTTAAGAATTAAAAAGCAGATAATTTCTAATGCATTGAGTAAATAAGCCCCTTCCAAGATAGGAGGGAATAAGGAAAAGTACAAATATACAGAATGATAGAAGATGACACTGAGCTATAACAACAACTTAACTTTAATAGACATAACACTATTAGTAAGCATTATTCATAAGCAATAACATATCCTGGAATGCTGTTATGGTAAAAACTACGCATATACATAAACACACAGCTTGTTTTACATTTATTAAAAATTGATTTTTTTTTAAAGCCACATTTAAACTTCAGAAAGGAACAGATTCCTACATAGCAATATCAGAACACCATTCCCCATATCTCTTTCTAAAGCAGATGATATTGGCTGGATTCCATTAGTAACTACGGCAACTATAATTTCCCTGAAAACATGCCTCGGGACTGCCTGCCTGAAAGACTTAACCTACGATATAGATTATAGTTTGCTTTACTAGGAAACAAAATCCTGAAAAACTAAGCCACCTGCAAAAACATTTTAAGAGACAGGTATTAAAAATACCAATTAGAGGACAAAAAGAAAGACATTTCATAAGGGGGTGGGAAGTTACACCTATTAGTTAACAATATGAATGGAAAACTCATCTCCACAAATACTGTCATCTGACTCACAAAATCAAAACATATCGAAACAAAAAGGTATCAGGAAATCGGTCAAAGAACTGGAGCTCTAAGGGCAGTTGAACAACATAGTCAAACAGCCAACAAGGGCACAGACAATTCTAGTCTGGGCTCAGTGACTGCAGAGGCAGCTTTCAAGAAAAACGGCCGCTTGCATCGTTTCACCATTCGATATCAATACTTACTTCATTGGTAACCTAACACGAGGCTTAAAGTAGGGTTCCTTTTGGTCAGCCAAAAAGACAATCAACTCATTTCCTGCAAAAGCAAGTGAGACGATGAATAACAGAGGAGGACTGCAAACGGTGTGCATACAAAACCAACACTTAAAAAACTACGTCACAAATAGTCATTATCCACAGCCACAAAAACTTTGAAAGACTTCCCATACAACTACTTCCTCCTCATTCAAAAGGAAGCAAAAGGAGCACTTCTTCGATACCTGTATATCACTTAAAATAAAATTTCCTGTAAACAAGTTAAGAAACATTGCATGTGGAAAAGTGGCAGGCATCAGTTCGATACAAATAGAGCTTAAAAGCTTCAGGTTGCCCAGCAAAGTTGTAGATGCCCCATCCCTGGAAGTGTTCAAGGCCAGGTTGGATGAGGCTTTGGGCAACCTGGTGTAGTGGAGGGTTTCCCTGCCCATGGCAAGGAGGTTGGAACTAGATGATCTTTGAGGTCGCTTCCAACCCAAACCATTCTACAAGGATTCTAAAAGCTACACCCAAACGAATTATTTTAGTACTGTCTCTGACATAGCAGGATCTGATACGGCTTGCCCAAGTCAGCTGACAAAAGCACTTTAAGCAAAACCTCACAGAAGTAACCTGGTTCCCTGCAGCATTTCCTCATCTAGAGGCAATGATACAAGCCACTATAATTTAATTATTCCACGAAAATCTAAATAAAAGCCCATATCTTATGTTACACAAATAACAGAAATTCAGGAAAGAAAAAAAAAAATTAACCTGAACGATGAAATGTATTTTCAGTCAGTAAACCACGATATACATGCACTACTTCAAGTAAAATAACAGTTCACAGCTAAAGAAAAAAAAATATAATTTTTTACTCATCCTTTATTATGTTTGTTTTCTGCATTCTCCAAGAAACTCACCTGTAGCATCCCAAACTGCAAAAACTCAGTTACCTAATAATTCTAAAATAATTCTACAGGTCCAAACCCGAGCTACCACAGTACATTTAGATGATCTAGAGCATCATTCTGTGGCAAAGTTCACGGCTGTGAAATAGCAGAATACAAGCTTCCTAGCTATGGGGAAAAAAAACCACAAAACAACAACAAATCAAACTGCCATAAACGTATTTGCCAAGAAGAATATGCCAGTAAATGAGTAAATGAAAACAAACCCTTTCAAAATGGATAGGGGTGACTACTGCAGTCCCATCTGGCAAGCCAGTAAAGCCTGGGTTGCATGACACAGTCACAGATGATTGGAAAAGTTGGCACCAGTAAGGTGAAGAAGCCTGCCGGCTGGTTAAGCTTTTGATAATAAAGCTGTGGGTTGACTGCTAAAACTTGTAATTCCGATTTCACACTATAGACTTGCACCTGCCTTTTTATCATCTATGTGGTAAAGTAATGATGATGATGAAGAAGCAAATGTGTTTTTACACATACCAGGTTCCAAGTCAATTATACCACTCAGAAATTAGATTTTATGGTCACTAAAGATAGATTTATGAAAATTGCAGCTCAGTGCTCATCAATAGTCAAACCAAACTGACTACTGGAAATCACTAGATGAACAGGAAACAAAATCAACACAAAACGTGTTCCAGATGCTGTTTTGCCGTTCTTGCCCTCTCATCTCAAAAACAATATAGAAGAAAGGAAAAAAGTACACAGAGGGGTGAAGAAAGGGAACAGTTTCCATGCAAACAACAATTATGTAGATGAGAAGTCTTCATTCTGAACATCTGAGTGAAGGTATCAGAGAGGGTTTTGAAATTCCCCAGTGAAATGTACAAGGTGAATAGGGGAATGATTACTCACTGCTTTGTACTATTAGAGGTGGCACCAAAGTAGAAGGTGGTAGGTTAAACAGGCAAACAGCACGAGCTTCCCCACTTATCCCTGTTTTGTGCGTATGCTTACAAAACAGGGAATCACACACACAATTCCATTTATTTGTATATTTTAGTGTCAGGATCAGAACAGTAATATAAATCCAGCAACAGGCCCAAGGTACCACCTCAATTTCCTTATTAGGGGAGAGGATTACTGGGACTGGGCTCCTTTACTACATCACTGCTCCTCGCAGTCTAGCATCATCTCCAACGTACGCTTCCTCAGTGCTACTTAGAATTGGCTACCGTTTATTCTACCGCTCTGAATTGGCTATTACTTTTTGTTTAGAAGGTGTGCCGAAATTTTTCAAGCTTTTTGTCAAGGTTTAAATTATGAAAAAATAATGTGTTCAAATATGTTATTTCTGGCTGATTTTTACAGAGAATATCAAGCAGGAAAACTATAGCAAGTGCTGTGCAGAAGCAAAGAAGAAACCATGTCTTGTTTCTAAAACTTAGAAGTAGTCACATTTTTTAATGCATTCATCTGAAAGATATTAATTTTAAATCTAATCTTTCAGGGCATTTTTTCAGTAGATGAGCCAGTGAAGCATTTTCAAGAACCCATGCATTTAAATGTCTCAACTAGATGGAAGTTCACTCATGCCTTACTGAAGCTACTTACAGAAACATTTCTGAGATTGAAGGAATAAAAAAGGTGAATGTGAGAATAAATTTATTGTCTTAACGTGTAGCTCTAAGTCAGAAAAATAATTCAGGATTAACCTCTGCAAATAACGCTGACTACTGATAACAAGCTCTGATTTAGGGTCCCCTCATATCCCAAGTCTGAGCAGAAACTCATGGCAAGTCACATCTATGTGGAACAAATTTATCTAGGCTTCCCCTTCAACAGAATGTTCGAGGCAGGAAAATGTGGAATTTATCCTCTTTACAATTGTGAAACGTTCATCTCTCTTTCCCAAAGCGTTGTGAAAGCAGGAGCAAAAACCAATTTGTGACCACTCACTCTGCAGGACAATCCTTAGACTAAAGCTGGATTTACGGTTGTGAAATAAAGAAAAACATTTCTTGCCCTACATGAAGCCATGTTTTAGTGCAAGCTGCGAATACCTTTTTCCATACAGGAAAATATCAGGAGTGAAGCAAGCATCAATTTTATTATTGAGAATAATTCCACTGCCCGTTGCGCTCGCCCTCAGCCGCGCTGCACACGGGCCCGGGCGCCGAAGGCTGCGCTTCAGCGGACGCGGCGAGGAACGAGCGGCCGGTGACACCGCGCGGGGGGCACCTCGGGCCGGACGGGACCGTGAGGACCACCGCTCCCAGCCCCTGCTCCCACCAAGAAAGTCCTTCCCTGCCCACAAGAACCAGGAAAACGTCTCTCCAAGCAGCAACCGGTGCCTTCCCGGGAAAGCACCCCGGGAAGGGGC